GCGGCCACCACAAGCTTATTGCATCGGTGTCAGACCGACGCCAAGAATATGGCTGTGGGTCAAAATTACCCAAAATGAAACCCTGGCAAATGGAACCAAGGACTAAAACCTGCGGTCCCCTGGTGGTTTTATTTTGACCCACACCCATGTGTTGCCAACGGATTGCCTGACTTAGGGTCGTCCTGGTCGACCAAAACCACCTGCAGCCCCCCGCGTGCAGGCATCAAGCAGTCGAAGCTCATGACCTACAACTTCGGGGCACACAGCTGCCCAGGACGGGATGTATCTTGACTGCTACTGGGTTGGATCTTTAGACTTTGACTTTTTGGTTAAATTCAAGGGGTTTTCCACTCAACCCCAAAAAAGTTAAACTTTTTTTGCCGGGGTTCAACAGCAACCAAGGTATCATCTTTGCAGGCAAGGGCGACTCGGCAAATTTCATCTCTAGCTCGAGGCTCCAGGAAAAGACACTTCGATTCGTGGCCCAAGTCGTGATCCAGTTGTGATCAAAGATTGCAGGCCTTTGATTGTGTGCGATTGCCTATTGCCCCGGGTCCCTAAGGTTTGGCTCCCCATGCTCTTAGCCAAGTTCCAGTTTGAGCTGGAGGGACGGCTAGAGGCGGACACCACAGGTCTGCATCTGAAGCCCAAAGATGGCTTGCGGCTGCGCGTGGTGCGGCTAAGTGAGGAAGGCGCACCCGTGATGGGCCGGTGATTTCCAGCGGCTTGTTTGAAGACTCTTGGGCGATTCTCGCCACGGACCCCTTTTTTGGTATGTAAAGGGCAACTAAAAGGAAGCCAGCCGCTTGGGGAGAAGGTGCTTGCTTTGAGCAAAGGAAACGTCTCCGGTGTCAAAAGTGACTTCCATCCTCGGCGGTCAACGCGGACAGAGTCCTGCAATCCGAATCAGTTCATGCGCGGGCCCGTGAGGGGCAGCAGTTTTCATCGCTCTGGAGGAACTCCTGAGCACAATTTTCGCGGCAGCGCAGTTGAAGCTACAAAACAGATCTTGTGACTGGGCCGTGGCCGAGGTTTGATACACTTGGGAGCTGGTGCGTTTATTTGGGCAATGTGCAGCATTGACTCAGTCGAAGCGGTTCCATGCATGAACATGTTTGGAAGCTCGATGCGACGAGGTTATGGCAAATCACTGCTACGGGCGAATAGCCAAGAGCAACTTGGCGGGAGATCTTGAACATTCATGTTGTTGCTGATGTTCAATAACATGAGCTGTGCTAAGGGCCAAGATATCAGATGCTCCTAATGCTTAATACAAGCAGCGCTTGCTTTGGCTGGGATTCCAATTAATTGGAATCTCAGTCGCTTGAAGACTTGAACCCGAACCATGCAAAGAAATTGCGCAGTGGCACTCCAGTCCCTAAACCCGTCCGCGGCTCATTCCTTGCGCTCAAAGATGGGCTTCGGCACTGTAACTTTGCGAGATGATAGATCAGTGCTTTCTGAGCGAGGCCAGAATGGCGCAACTCAAACGCTGTTAGTTCAGCTCCGCAGCAATAGGAGCCATGCGAAGGTCATGGCACGCAGTGGTCCTTACGGGCGCTGAAGAGTCTCTAATTACATTCAAATTGCTTCGGCTTCAATCCTACATAAATATATATATATATATACACATTGTGTGTGTGAGTTTGCCTCAAGATAGGGCAGTCCAAAAAAGGTGGGGTTCCCGTTGATTTCCCACTAAACACACTTAAGCAGGGAACCCTGAACAAAGCAAACCCATATATGGAATCGCAGACTGATTTGGCATCATGATTCTGCCTTGCTGTCAGCTGATCAGCTGAGGCATTTTACCATTTCTGATGGCCATCCACATTGGCCAGCACCTTAGTGACCAGATGCACTTGAGAAAAGATTGAATACATCTTTAAGAGGCACCCCTTTGTCAGCAGGATACATGTGTTCGCATGTGCGATAGCATGCACCTGTGCCTGTCTTGTACTTGAAGGGCCTAAATAATGAAAATTGAGTTGCGGGGTGGTGCTCTGAAAGCAAATTGTTTCATCATTATAAGAGCATAGTATGGAAAAAGTTTAGCCCCAATGATTCAATGATTGTTTAGCCCCTGATGTGATCCATCTCTGCACATGCGAAATACCCGGACTTGTTTACATGGAGCCTCATGGTGGTAGTTTTGACGTGACTGTGTTGTGGACGCTGACACAACGTGTTCCCAGGTCAGACAACGGGCGAATGGTTTGCTTTGGGAAGTATCCACAGGAGTCCCATTTGCCTGGGCAGTCCTTATTTGTTGACTTTGCCATTGCTGGCTTCGGCCGGGTATCTCCCCTCCCAAATCATGGACATGAGCAACGATCAACATTCACCATCATTTGCTGCAGGAAGGGTTATGACATTGGGTACATTCACCAAAGTACCGGCTACTTACTAGATTTTCCAACGTCAGCTGAGAACCTGCTGGCAAAATGAGCCAAGCTTGTTTCTCATTTGCCAGTCTCTTTTGTTTTGCGTGTTCTGTTTCCGGAGTCCCCGTGTCTTTCCGTGCAAGTCGCGAGGTTCTCGGCCTATCTGGCTTGCGCGAGCTGGACCTTCGGACAAAGGTGACGGAGGCCAGATCTCCCTTTCCGACAGGGTCCCAAGATACATTTGGGCAGTCAAAAGCCCGCCCAAATTCCAGCGGATTCAGAGAATTGCAGGTGGAGAAAATAGGTTTTTGGATGGGTCGCTTTGGCAGCCTTGTCTACACACCACACACCCTCCTAACCCCGAAAAGGAATTTTCCTTACCCTGTCTAAACACCCCATTCTGCTTCAAGGTTTCATCTTGAGAGTCACGGAGCCACGTGAATCCTGCCACTTGAGTGGTTTAAAGTTCAAACATTACCTTTTGAGCCAAACTGAGTTGCCCTGAATTATGTTCCCTCGGTTTGGAGGACAGATTCCAAAGACTACCGGGCAGCGTCAGCCATTGAGCCAAAGGGCAAGAACTTCAGCCCGCAGCCTCTGAGCCTCACTTGAGTTCAGGGACTCGGACTTGAGTTTCACTCTTTTGGGGTTTGGACCCTTTGAGCGGCAGGCAAGAAGTGTGGGTAATTTTGGTTGGCCAATCCACGAAGTGAGGAACAAAGCGGTCTGAGACAATGTTCACGGGCTGAGACCGACCGTCGCCTGTCGAGTCCAGCTTGCAGGCCAGAGCGGCAGCGACCGCAACTCCAGCCTTTCACAAGAAGGCAGGGCATGGAGTGCTAGGCATGGATTCCGTTATGGTTATGCCGTATCAGAACGCTGTGGCAGGGGGAAAAGCACACCTTGGGGTATTGCGTCCCGAGCCACAACTAACTGTTCAGCTGCATTGGAGCCTCAACTGTCAGATCATTTTCGGCTCCTTGACTGCCATTTGCTCTTTCTCTTCAGCCTCATCAATGGCTTCGGCTGCGCAGCCCCCATGAAGCAAGAGAAATGAAGTGTGGAGCTGCCACTTGAGCAGCACCGAAAACCCCGATTGGCCATTTAGTAGGTGCTTCTACTACCTGGTTTTGTGGTGATTATAGTAAGCCCTAAACCTCTACACAAATCTTGGTAGAACCAAATGTCAATGGGTTTTGGGCGCTGCTCTGCAATGGAGATGGTTAAGGGAGAACTGTCAACAAACCACTGGGGTCACCAATATACAGAGCCCCTACTCGCGTCACTACCTATTCGAAGAGAAATTTGTAAGGGTGTGTTTTATTTTAGGGGACCACCCGATGATGGTGTTCCTTTTGGTTTACCCTTAAACCCAACCAAAGAGGGTACCCTCAAAGAAAGACACCTGTCGACTCCGAGGGCTCGATTGTATTTTTTCAGTTCCATGCGAGTTGTACATTGCCAACTCTGAGTTCCTCATGGCATTTCACCCCATAGACATGAAGATCGGTCAGGAACAGTTATCTAAGAGTTGTCTATTCATTTGGAAGGGACAGGGGGGACTCACTCAAAGTCCCACAAGCAGAGCATGTCTTGGCCCTTCGAAGATCACATGACCTGATACGCGGGAAATCGGGATCCACAAACCGGCTCCCAAACTTTCGACTCCCACGCGCGTGGCACCCAGTTCACAATCCTGGCGTCACACCTGGAGACTAGGGTGGTCTCATGAGAATCCTCAAAATGGGACTTTGCGAAACCTGTTTCCTTCACAACCCACATACTCCGAAAACGACGTCTGGGCAAGTCCGATTTGAAGACTTTATTGGCATGGAATACCCAACAAGTGGCTCCGGTTTCTTCAAACCCCAGTCTTGGGCCACCCCGAGCTTCGCAGGCCACCACTTCGCGGAGCTTTTGGCCGAGTTTGTGCAGAAGCGCGCAGCGCGCTACTGGAAGGAATCTGAGAAGCCCCAGGAGATCGGGTGCGGCGATCCAAAGGCCACCGGCTGAAAAGTAAACCCGTGCCACTTTTTGCGGGGGGGTTACCTCCAAAAATGATAAATGCCCACTAAAAGGGGACACCCCCCTATTAATCAACCAGGGGTTTATTTATCCGGGGTTAGTTAACATTAGTGAATCTCAAAGCATCTGACATCTTTGCCCTTGATGGACTCAAAAATGATGATGGTATAGCAGATGTCAATCCCAGGTTTTGTTTTGAACAATGACCACTAGTGGGTGTGTTCATTGAGGAGCTTGTTGTGACATGAAGATATGAATTTTCAGCTGTTGCTCACATTGGCAGGTATGGCAGCGTGACCTGTGCTTGACAGCTTTATGCTAACTACAGACGTGTAAACCAGAAGCTGCACAAGAAGGGGCACCCTCCAAATCAGTCAAAAAATGCCCGTCCCCAGAAGATGTAGAAGATCTACATAGTAGATATCACCTTTCCCATTTGGCAATTGACCTGAACAAAGTTGCCGCTTCCGCTCCGCAGCTGTTTGCAGCAGTCATAAAATTGATGCTAGCATGTCATGAGGTGCCAGCTGTGTTTCCTTCACGGATTTCCAAACGCACACATGACTTTCGACTTTCACCAGGTCTTTGAGCGTAGTCCTCTCAGCTCTCAGCGTTCATATGCCTAGCCATGGGAAAGCGCCGGGATACAAAGACGAACGCCAAGCAGGAGCTGATAGATCTTTGTGCACTGTGCATGTTGACTGACCCGGAAGCAAGCGAAAGCAACAAACAAGGATAGATGGGGAGCGAAGGCAAGGTCCTCGAGAGCAAAGCCTAATGACCTGGAAGCATTGCGCGAGAAAAAGAGATATGCCGAGGAACAGAGTCAGAGTTCGAGCTCTGTCTGGCTTTATGGCAACTTGGCAAGGACTTGCATCGCTTTCCTCAATGCACATGCCTTGCCTCAGCGGATAATTTTGGGTGACCCTTTTTTAATGGAGGTTTGCCAGTGAGTTCCCCTTCAAATAGACAGCAACAAATTGGAGTTGTGTCGAGATCAGCCTGCCTTGAACATGCCAATCCATTTCGGGCAGAAACCGAGGTTTCCTAGTTCATTTCCACGCGTGTCGTTGCCATGCTTGATTGCAAAAAAGCTGTGGAGTTCAACAAGTAAAATCTGAAACCTGAGGCAGGTTCTTGGTGAGCATGAGCAAATCCACTTGGCGAAAGCCGTTTGCAAAGGCGAAGGTAGACAATAGCCCAAATCACCGTGGCAAATCACAGATCAAGAAGGGATGCCCGGAGCGGAAAGCGTTCGGCTCCCTCAGGCGCCGTTACATTGGCTGGAGTTCTGCTGGCGATCGCCACCCAGCAAGTGGGCCGCAACGACAAGCAGGAGACTGGGTTGAAGCAGTCAAGCAGCAACCCGCGATAGCAGTAAGGAGCTGCCCTTTTTGCGGGATTAGACACGTGGTGAAACGTGATCCAGTCCCAATCGAAACCTCAAACAATGAGACTTGAAGGCATATTAGACTAGGATACATGTTGTTAAACGGTGAACAAGCGTTACGTGAAAACTTGTTGTGGTGTACTGGTTGTGGTATTGGTGGATCCAGGTCTCTTGTTTCATGCCTGGACAAGAAACCTGGCAACAGGAGGACAAGACTCAAAACTTGAGGTGACCCATCGACCCCCACGCGCCTGTTGGCGCGCAAAGGTTAGCCAAGAGCAAACCAGCTATGCAGCTGCTCATGTGTCGTCCTGCTTTAGGAAACAACCACGCGCTTTAGCAGCCGCGTGTACAGGCAATGAGCATAGCACAGACGTGGGTAAATCAGTTTGGGCCATTTGCCAAGTGACATGCTAGACATGCGCCATAGCACTGCAAGATGGATGTGGTGGTCTTTTCAGCAAGGCATTTGAGTGCTTGGGATTGGATGGATGAGATGGATGGGATTACTTACCCGCATTGGCTAGCTTTGATGGGTTTGATGGCTTTGATGGATTGGATGGGTTGGATGGCTTGGATGGATGGCAATTGGAGGCCCTGTCAGGCCAGCCGCCCGTTCTCGCCACAAAATGAAAAACTCCTTGTCGGAAAAACACACAGTGACTTCCTACTGCCAATCAGCTGGCTTGCAAGGCTGCGAAACGGTGCCCTTCGCGCGTAGACATGCGCGCACGAACGAAGGCGCTGACCCTATGAACTTTATGGATGTGTCTTGCTTGAGTCTTGGTACCCTGTGTTTGGTGGTTAAGGAAGACCATCATGTCCCCTAAAACAAAAGACGCCCATATGTCATATGAATCAGCAAACAGTTCGTTGGAGAATACTGGGATTTGTTTGCCAATGCTGCTAACATTGCTACTGCTGTACGTTGGTTTGGCTGCTCTTTGGTAGCTTCAACTTGAACTCTTTCATGGCTGAAAATGGGCCAAGTGGTTGGAGCCATTTTTAGTGGCCCCAAAAGGTGATCACCTTGTCTGGGTCCCTAGGGGGCAACTTAGAAAGTGAAATGGGGGATGTGTCTTGCTTGAGTCTTGGTGCCCTGTGTTTGGTGGTTTGAAGGAAAACCAAATGGAAAACCTGCCAAAGTCAGTCCTTGTTTGCACTGGCAGCCCGCGAAGGAGAAGTTCCAGCGCCTGGTGCGCTGGGTGCAGGAGGCTGGCGGATATGCCGCGGCCCCGGGGAAACAAGAATTGAATGAGAGGCGCCGCCTCGATCCATGGAGCGTTCCCCAGGTCCCCCAGCTAGGTGCCCTTTCTCACCCCTTTTTTGCGGGAGGGTTCCCGTACTAAAACGGACTATAGGAAAAAGGGTGCCCTTATTCTAACCTCTCTGGAGGACCTAGGTTCCACACAGGTCGGAGCCAAAGTGCTTTGAAGTGCAAGAATACAAATTAAGAGGTGTGAGAAGGTGTTTCCTTGCCGTAGGCTTTCAGAAATAAAGCATGTTGATTAGCTCAGGTGTCTCCAAAGATCTCGTACGTGGATGCCACGACGAAGGGGGCGATGCTGTTGGCTTCAGAGCCGGTGAAGGAAGGGGAGAAGCTGATGAGAATCCCCCGGCAGGCGCAAATCAGCGATGCCACTCGGCAGTGAAAATTACCAGGCGTTGCATCAAGCTGAGGGGTGGCCGTTGTTGTTTGCCTCTCGTTATATGTACCTCTCGCTTGCAAACTGATTATGCAAGAGTCCTGCTTCCAGGAGAGTTGGAGCTTGAGGGGGCTGGTGGCTCAACGACACAGACCTGGACAAGGGTACATCAAACAAGAAGACATCAAACAAGTAGAGAAAGTGAAGCAAATAGAGCACTTCAAGCAACTAGAGAGACGACTTGAAAGCACCCAATTGAGGCCGTCGGAGCGAATGCAAAGCCCCAAGAACTAGGTGTGAGTTCTTTCTGAAGCTTGATTTGAAGGGGGCCACAGTTCTTGCTTTTGTGCGTTAAGGCCCAATTGGCCCACAGAGTTTTTTTGCGAACTGTAGTCCTTAAATGCAATCGGAGGTGATTCAGGGTCACGCATGCATGTGCCAGTCCGCACTTGCAGCAAGACCCGATCCCTTTCCAGCTTAGGGAAATGTCGCTGGCCAGCTCTGACTCTTTGTTTTAGCTTCGCCTGACACTGGGACCTGCAAAAATGGAGAGGCTCGCCTTGCCCGAGGCGAGTGTCCGCAGCGACAGTGCGCTTCCACGATACGTGGCGGCTGAGCTGCACAGGGCTAGGGGTGGTTTCCTTGGCGGCTATGGTGAAGGGGTATGTCAAAATGAGAAACGCATTGTGAGCTGTCTCCTAGCTCTGAAGCGCTTCAGAGCGCAAATCGGGGGAAAGAGACAATCACAGATGCAGCCTCCCGCAAGTTGGGCCTTCGCAAGATCAGTCAGGTCCCTCACGAAGGGAAGCTGGCCGCCTGCACTGTTTTATGGCAGGGACAGCAGTTGGTGGACGTGCCACATGTTGACCAGGTATTGGTTGCATAGTTTATTGTGCTTTGCATCGCTGTAGTGGTAGAGTTGTTGTAGAAGATTGTAAAGTTATTGTAGAAGGTGAAAGACGCCTCGACAATTGGCTTTATACATGTCCCGCGCAGCAGATTTGCATCGGGTAAGCACCACCATCTACGCACCCACAGTGACCCAGGGTGACTACAACGCCAAGCGAGAGATTGCAGCACAAAGTCATGCTGAAGAAATGCCAATCCAAGATGTGGCGCACGCATATGACTGTGGGTATGTGTGTGTGTGTGTGAAAGAGTGTGTGCGTGTGTGTGTGCATGCGTGTCTGCATGAGCTTGTGCATGCATGCATCGTGCATGGGTGGCTGTTTCTTTGTGTTTGTTTGTGTGTGTTTTCACAGTACCCTGTTTAGGTTGCATTTTTGTTTAATTAAACACCAACAAACAATCCCAGAAACTTCTGAGAAGTTCCCCATTTGAGACAACTGCATGTGACAGCGTTTGGGTGAATTGAAACAGTCGTTTCTTGGAAGAAGGATGAAAAGAATGGTTGCCCCAGAACTTTGCACATCCATCTGGTTTGAGGTTTGCATGACCCCAAATGGTGGTTTTCATGTTGGTTCCCTTCAAACCAACCTAAAGAGAGTGCCAAGCCTCAAACAAGCACATGCCCATACGTTGCAGTGGACCTATCGAAATTCTACACTCTCCCGAGCGCAAGCCTCAATCGAGACCCATAGTGGGCCACTTCCTACGGAGGCAAAACAAACAAGCATGTGGCACATTTTGCCACCCATGTGCTCCAAAAAGGCACATATGGCCATGGGTCACAATCCGGTACGCCCAGTGAACATCCCACTCCCCACTAAAATAGGTTCTAAAAAGGGTAGTGCACCTACCCCAAAATGGTACCATCAGTTTTGACCCACAGCAATATTCATTAGTCTTCTGTTGGGTTTGTGGGGTCGAGGATGGCATCAGTGACCTCAGCCTGGGTCGCAGCGGTGTTGCTGCCATGGCTGCTTGGCTCACCAGCCGCTACGGCCGGGGTCCCCGGCCTTTGTCGCGAGTGGAAACGGGACCTGGGCCAGACCGGGGGTCCCTAGATGTCCGCTTTTCGGTGGTTTTAAACATGGCTGTGGGTCAAAACCAATGGTACCATGTTGGGGTAGGTGCACCACCCATTTTAATTAGTCTATTTTAGTGGTTGGATTGGGATGTTCACTGGGGGTACGATTTGGATTGTGACCCATGGCCATATGTGCCTTTTTGGGCCCAAAGGCAAGGTTTTTTTTGGAGGGGGATCTTTTTTTTGGGGGAAATCTATGGAGCCGATCCGAAAGTATGGGCCAATGTTGACAGTCGCCTGGTGGGCTGGTGGGCTGGTAGGGTCCGCTTTAGCGATTAGGCGGGCGGGGGCGGGGGGGAAGGGCCAGAAACGGCCCATCAAGCCAGCGTTGGGAGTCATCAATGGCAGTCTCCTGGCCCTTCTCCAGGTTTTTTTTTGCAGTGGAACATCCAACGGATCTGGGGGTTGGTCATGTGTACTTTCCCCCCAAAGGAAACCAAGGGGAGGGATGTCTGTTGTCCAAATCCGTTACGCCCGGTACTTCTTGGAGGCCAGCCTAATACAGAGTACGAGGTTCATGGCCCAAGGAAGATTGTGAGGGATGGTCAAGATATGGCCCCTTGGACCTTTGCTGCCTGCCGCCTCCATTGTTCGTGCTCTGGACTGCTCTTGCGTGACAAAGGGTCAAACAATGTGTGACAGATGATTATGTTCTGCGGATTGGTACTCTAAGCTTGCATCGATGCATGTAAACATTCATGAAGCATGATGAACATTGATGGCGGCTTGAAGATAAATTGTTCATGCAAACTGTCGCAAAAGGGAATGCTAATTCTGTGTTTTCTCGCAGCTAGTCTGGCAAAGGAGCAAGCCAACAGGGACCAGTCTGATTTTCCGTTCCGCTCGACCGGATCGAGCGGGGAAGACTATCAGGGAAACCACCCATTTCGAGGATTCACAAATTTTGGGACAAACGGATTGCGTGCCAGGAAGCTACCTGCAAGACCCCGAGTCTGTTGGGCCATGGCGATTCTGGTGGGAGATGTTTTCTGCTCCCTGGTCCATGCCCTTCTATCGGGATGCCACTGAGCAGCTGCTGTTGCTGGGCTCCTACGAATTTCAAGAGATTCGCCGGAACCTCTTTTGGCCTGCAACTCAGTCGCTTTGAGGGACACTTTGCGCTGGGCAAACATCTGAAGCCAGAGGTTGTTATGTTCCAAGGTATACCCGCGATTTCGAGAAGCTGACAGAACCGTGCAAGAAAGGAACCTGCAGTGCCGAGGTGCGATTGAGACTTGGCATTGAACAGGCTTGCATAGTTTGTGTTTCTTGTTAAAAGCAAGTCTACATTGTCGTCACATCCATTTCTCAGTATCCACTCAGGATGGACTTTGATGCTTATCAGGCCGAGACTCATTAGTGAACTCAGCACTGCGTGCGCATCGCGTTCGGGATTTCGTCGTACAGGCCATGAATCAGTTCATACTCTCCCATGCCTTCAAAGGGCCTGGCGACAAGCCCCACATCATACCGATTTTCGTTCCTTGGCTGGGCAGGGAGTGGCAGGAGACTGACACACAGACAAGCGTCTTGTGTGCCGATGTTTGTTTGCTCCCTGTATAGACGTTGACACATTGTCCATGGAGCCGGGCTGTGGTACAGGTATGACACTGCTATAACACTTGCAAGAATGTGTTTATGTAATTTCCGAGAACTAGGGATCCTGTTCGATTGGTGCTTTGAAATGAACCGCGAACCCACTTGCTGGATGGGAAACACCTATGCATCAAAAGGATTGCGCCCCCTATGACAATCTGGCTGAGGAAGTCTTGAACCATTCGCCGGAATTGGCGTCAGACTTGAATCTTGGCTGAACAATGGGAGTACAGCGAGCGATAAACCCTCGAACTCAGCATGGTCCAAGTATGTAGACTTCAAAACTCCGGGCACTTGCACAATTGGATTTTCATCACCTGATATGTGACATGTCGGCTGCTAGGGTTCGCTTCCTGCGCTTGTTACGGCCTGAACAGCTGTTGTGCAATTTACAATGCTGAAGGAGCTTTTGTCAGGGTAGTCTCTGAGATTTGGACAGGCGATCGGACTATCTGCTTGTTGGAGGGTACCTCCATAGTGTTTTGGGTTTTCAAACTCCGGAAGGGAAACTATGGGGAAGTTGTTATGACCGGCGGCCCTCCTTTGGCCAAGGAATTATGAAATGGACGGCGATGGCAATTTGGAGGTCTGGGCCAAGTGGGATATTCCGCCTGGCACTGAAATTACAAACAGCGACTCGGCCGAATAGCGCTGTCAAAAAGAACAAGTGGCACATGTGAAGAGCACTAATTACACCACAGAGTTGTCAATTCCAGGTAGGGGCCCTGCTTGGATTCTTAGGCGTGAGTTTTGAAACCTGAATGAAGCCCTGATGTCAGCACAAACAGCAAGACCGTCATTCCAAGTTGTTTCAGCATAATGTTGTGTTTTTTGGGGGGGTGCCCATTAGCTGCTTGCCAGCTGGCACTTGCGGGAGATTGAGACTTTGCCCTGGGAGCAGATGTTGCGGCAGGGGCCGTGTTTTGGAGGCTCGGTACCCTTTCCCTTTTTGGGGGTTGGGTTACCAGGCAACCAGAAGGAAAGCCACTCGTTCCTTTATTTTTGCACCCCCAGAGTTGCGCAGGCTTGTCCGATTTAGCACCGACTTTAGGCATAGAAGGGGGCTTCATAAACAACCAACAAAATTACTGGCAGTCTTGTTAGTTTCGCGAGGACGTGGGGTGCCCTACTCAAGTTTCCCGCAAATATAAGGGTCCACAGAATGTCCCATGTCCTTTAGACTTTTCGAGGTCTGGGTGTTTTGTGTTTGGAGGAGTTCACAGAATGTCCCATGTCATTTAGACTTTTCGAGGTCTGGGTGTTTTGTGTTTGGAGGAGTTCACAGAATGTCCCATGTCATTTAGACTTTTCGAGGTCTGGGTGTTTTGTGTTTGGAGGAGTTCACAGAATGTCCCATGTCATTTAGACGTTTAGGCTTTTTGCGTCTAGAAGAGTTCTGGGACTTTTTTCGGGGACCTCCCACCAGAAACTTCCCACCTTTTCCCTCACTTCTTCGTCTCCTTGAGGCTACGGGCGGCGCTCGAACAGCGAGCTGCTGGCCTCCTACGGCTTCGCGGACCCGCCGTACCTGGAGCCCTTCTGGTCCCTCCGGATCTTCACCCAGGCGCGGAAACGGAGAAACGGAAACGGAAACGGACGGAAACGAAGGCGTGATAGTCGCGAGTCCAAGCCTCAGATAAAATTTTCCAAATCATCCAAAAAAAAAAACAGTTTTTGGCGTGAGGGGTGAAGGCGTGAGGATTCATTCCCTCAGGTTGGTTTTCAAGTACTCCAACGGCAATATCACGAGTTTTGGGGGGGTGCCCTATCTTGCCAGCCCAAAAGCTGCGTAAGAATGTTTCCCCGAAACTGGCTCTGAACGCATAAAGCGGTTGACGGGAGCGCCAAAAGGCAAAGAGCCACCAGCATTGTGGTGCTTGGAATGTAGACGGATGTGCTCCTCTTGGTTGCCCTTCAAAACGACCCCCCCAAACAAGCGGCAGCCTCGAGCGGCGTCCTCGCCCAGGCTTTGGCCGAGAAGCATTTCCCGGACATGGACATCGAGGACATGGAGATCGATGTCCGGCTGGCGACCCCGTGGCTGAGGAGTCTGCCCACCGCAGCTGGGCGAAAATCGCGGAGATGGTCAGCGCCCAAACCTGGGGACCAGGGTCGATTTGTTGTTGGTGTTTTTGTTTTTTTTTTCGTCGGAAAGCCAAAAGCAAGCCACTATTTTGGGGGTCCCCCTAAAAACATCACACCCACCTGTCCATTTCCAGCTCCAAACCTGTCACCCCTTTGTTGGTTTGTTTGTTTTTCGTGGCACACTTCGGTTTCTCAGGATGGCGCGGCACCAACGCCGCTTGCCACTCTCGCCTCAGAGCTGGACAGGGCCACAGGCCAAGTGCCCTCCCTGCTTGGTGGCTCGCGCTGGAATCGGGGGAAGGGCCGGGGAACCCGAAATGGGCTCTAGGAAACCTGGTCTGCTTGCTCACACCAAGGACAATCATGTGTAGCACCCGAAGGCAACCCTTTCTTGGAACCCATGTTGGGTCACAAAATGAAAGCGGGAAGGATGTATTAGCATGAAAAGTTGAGTGGAGGTCCGAAGAGGAACATAGCTTGTCTATGGTTGGGAATGTTCCCAATCCTCCATCAACTGGTTTCGAGGTTTTGGTCACATGAACAAGTAACTACTCAGATTTTCAGCGTTTGTGTTCCTGAGTGAGGGGCACCGGGAACCCTGATTGGTAATTGGGGGGGGTGGTCGATATTAGTTCTGAGCCCAGTGTCACCAGTTGGAGCCCTCCAAATAGGTTGTGTTGTTTGTGAGGAATGCGGGCTTGCCATGTTTCACTTGTTTGTGGTGTGCCCATTCGTATCTAGATGTGACTTAAAATATGTGCACCCTTCTTTTGACTGGACAAGGTGACGAAAGGAGGCTATGCCTACGATAAGATTGATGCGATGGAATTTATAGGGACTACGTGAAGGTACAGGCGAGTGCTGGCTTGGTAATCAAATCTTCAGATGGAACATGGCAACGTAGCCCTCAGGCTTGGTGGAAACCACCGCAGATCACTTCCTGAAGTGGTATCGCAACTTGGTCGTTAATGGCAAGCTGCGACATTCTCCCCAACAAGACGGATGACCCTGGCAAAAGCCGAGCTGGGGTGCAATGAGCCATCAGAGCTCAGTTTGCTCTCCGTTGTGAGCGCCGAACACCCTTGGCCATTTCAGTAGGCTCCACCAGCAGTTTTGTTTGGGAAGGACAAAGCTTCATGTCCAGTGGCCAGTGCCGTCTGTGGCCAGTGCTGTCCAGTGGCAGGGTTTCCCTTTGGCTAGCAAACAACAAAAGGCTTCAAAAACATGTTGGTGGGCGCCCCTTGCACCCCAGCTCAGCTTTTCCATGTAGAACCCAAAGTCAATCGGGTTTGGGCGCGGCTCACAGGCAATGATCAGCTCATCGCCAAGTACCGAAGCACCCTGGAAGAGAATCGCAGGCACAACGCCAGTAGCTCGGTGCCTCAACTGCAAGTTCAGCACCGATGTCCAGAGACGCGCTCCTTGTAAAGCCCCATGAGCATAGGTGTCCTTGTTGGTTGTTTGGGTAGAAACATAGATGGCGATTCCTGGTTTACCTGCTGGTTTCATCATCTACCATGGAAACCCATCTATTTGCCCAAGGACACATGCCCATCGGTTTTTTGAAGAGTGAGCCATGTGCTGGGCATTTGGCATTTGCCACATTGGATTTCCAGTGGATTCCGCTCTTTTTTTCCTTTGGGGAAGGGTTCCCCTTTACACTCAACCAAAAAAGGATGCCCTTTTTTTCCATGGCCACTGGATGCCCTTTTTTTCCCATGGAAATCTACTGGGCATCTGAGATTTGGTTGCCCTCAAGTTGCGTCTACCTCGAGGTTTGGTGGCTGGAAGGGCCAACTGCTTGGAGCTTCAGTCGGGAAGAGCCGCCTAGCTGCATATCGCCCAATGGCGACGCCTCGGGCGTTTCAGGTTTTGTCGGAGGGCACCCTTTTTGGTTTCTTTGGAAGTGGGAATCCAGAATTCAAACTCCCGGCTTTTGCGGAGTGGGGTGTATGCAGGAAGTTGGCCCAAGTTCGCATTTGCTCGTTCATTCAGGTCGAATCATTGAGCCTTGGACCAATGAGCCAAGCAGATCAAAAGACCTGCCAATCCCGCATAGTTGGGTCCATTTCTCAAGGTGTCTCTTGCGGGGGCTGTGTCAAAATATGGGAACCTTTTGGGTACACTTCAAAACCACCCCAGAAAGGGCACCCAAGCAAAGACCACACCCATTGAACAGGATCAAACGATTCATGCCACTCAATGTTTGCTCAGGTTTGCTGGTTTGCTGCAGTCCAAAGGCGGGAAGCGAGCCCCAACCCTGCAGGGAATTGCAGGGCACACAGCCATCGGTTTGGAGCACTTTCAACCGCCCAGGTTTTTGGTTCTGGAGCAATGTCTGTTTTTTTGTGCTGGTTTCCTTTATCGGCCGGTGTCCTGGGGCAGGAGCCCTTCTGTTTGCTTTCAACTTCAAGCTCTTCTGAATTTTGAGTCATAGAGGCGAAACGCCACGAGATTGACAAATTGCGGATCCAAAGTGCAATTCAGCTGTCATGACCCAAAGGGAAAAAGATTGAGTTGTGGATCTATTAAAGTTTAGTTCAGGGGAAACATTTGTTGAGCCCTCTGGGCAGGCCGCAGCGAGCGTGAGAAGCTGCGGCAGGAGGCCAGCTCAGGCGATCTCAGCGATCCCAGGCGCGGATGTGGCGAGAGGGAAGTGAAGGAACACGGGATGTGTCTAAAAACGGGATCCAAACAAGAAACCAAGGTGAAAAGGGTAGCCTCAAAGAAACCACACCCAATTGGCCTGCAAGCAGTTAGTATGCAACCCAGACAAGCCTTTTTTTTTGAGGAAGAAAGTTTTTCAGCACTCCCAGCTCAGATTCCATGCTTGGAGGGCGGTTATTGAAAGGAGTGGTCCCAGGCAAGCAGGCGAGTTATCGGCAACCGAAGCTAGGAGGGGCATTTCTGATTTGCCTCCGTGATTGGAATCGACGAAATGGAGCAATTAATGTTGGAATGAATAACACCCTGCTCAATATTGATCAAACGCGTGCCGACTGGTGCAGGATTTTGTCCATCCACAGTACCAGGTTGATAGGGTTGTGCAAAGTTCGCCGAGGCCCCGCTTGGGAACCCCAAAGCGAGAACCCATGACCCCAACAAAGGATTTCGTTCTGCGACGAGGAGCATCGGGTTCTGGAATTCCACGGTGGTGCGGGTGAAGATGAGCGAGTGAGCCAGCCGTCACTCCAAGGGAGCAAAGGACCATCTTGAAGGGGATGCTATTGATGCACTGAAGTGGCATGAGGTTTGCCGTGCATCAGGAGACAATCAACATGAGTGTAGTACTATTGAACACAATTTTTGCTTGGCCATTTCTCAGTGTTCCATTTGTCTTGCGCTTTTTTAAGTACCCCCTGTAAGTTGGCTTGGTTGTAAATACACGGATTCCACTGCTTTCAGTTTGGTTCTGATTTCAGTTTGGTTCTCCTCCCTTTCCAGTGCCATCTATGCGTCCGCGTTTCGTCCATGTGTCGGGGGGGGAGCCGGAAACTCAAGCCTCGCCCTCAACACTCAAACTCAAAAGCCCAGGCGGCTTCAAAGAACATTACAATCCATAAACCAAGCGACTGAGACCAATTTCTTGCCGGATCGCGAGGTATTTGTGCGCGGTGGCCCACAAGGAGGCGCTGCAGCTCCTGCGAGGTGAGCTTCAGCCCCGCGGAGCGGACAGCGATGGGTGAAAGAGTTGGGGGTGGGTGGGGTGGGGAGCCGTGGGTGTCCTTTTTGGTTGGTTGAAAAATAGCGGGCGATTCCTGGTTTACCTGCTGATTCAAACATCCACCAGGGCCATCTATCGTCGCAAAAGGACACCTATGGTGAAGAACCCTGGGTTTTAAGCCTCACAGAAGAAGTCGGAAGGTTGACCTAGCCTTTCTGCCTCAAAGATAGGGGAACCAAGCTGCCAAGATGTTGGAACAAATCTGAACTGGCACTTCCGAGCCCAAAGCAAGGCTAGCAAGTCGGTCCGCCTCCAGTCCGGGTGGTTCCAGAGCCAGGAGATTGGGCGTTGAGGGTTGTTGGGGTCAAATTGAGGTGGAGCCATGGAGAAGCCATTCCAGCCTGAAAACTAGTGACTAGGAGCCATTTGGGAAGGGCCACGTTCGCTGCTGTGGCTTCCCTTGCTATGGCTGTGGCACTGGAATTGAGGGGGGTACCCTTAGACAAACCCCATTCAAAAGCGGATTTGTTGTAATGGTCACACGTCTCACAGAGGTTTTCTTTCTGTTTGGGTATCTTCCTTGGGTCTCCGAACGTACCACCTCCCCAAACTGCCATCCTGTCTTTCAACACTACGGGCATGTGACTGACAGCAGACCTCGCAGTTTGAAGAGCCACGCGCGAGCGCAATGTCCACTTGACAAGTAAGGCATTCTGAAAATCAACGCTTTGACTAAATATGCAAAGGGGAAATCTTACAGGGAGTGCTGACACTTATGCAGTGGCATAGCTCTGAAGCTTTGAGGGCTCGTTTTGAGCTCGAAGCGCCCACTGAATATCATCAGTTTTGCGCCTCAGGTCATCCGAAGTCATGGCCGAGTCTGTCCAGACGGCCGAAGCGTTGCGAGACTTTCGGCGGAAAAGGGCTGAACTGGCGGCCTTCGAGACGCCAGCTTTGCGTTTAAAAGAAGAAGAAGAAAAACGGGATGCCAACGTGCGGCATGATTTTTGTTTATATTTGTTTGTTTAAATATTTTTTGTTTTTTACGGAGAGCTCATGCATGCTCATGCAAATGGCCAGTGACATGGGAGTCTACTGTTGGGTGAAGGGCATGGGTTTCGTCAATGGCAATTTGTTCAGTCACTAGGCCACGTGTCAACAGCAGGGATCCTTTTGTGGCTTCATGGGAGAAGCAAAACTGCAGCGTTCACAGAGAGGGATCCCTATATTTCCCCTTGAAACATCACCCTAGGAAAGTTCACTGAATTGGCCAAGGTGATGCTCAACAGCAGCAAAAGGGGAAATTTAGAGAACCCTGAACTCATTTCTCGACGCAGGAGGCAACGCAGGTGTTCACCAGCACCATGCCGCGCGCAGTTGCCTCCGTGCGAAGCTGAGATAGCGCTTGGATATCTTGGTGCATGCGTCTCATCTAGGTCCCCCAGCTTGGTGCCCTTTCTCTCCCCTTTTTTGGTTGGGAGGGCTCCCCAACTAAAATATAATAGACTACAGAAAAAAAGGGTGCCCTTCTTCAATTATTATGTCCTCTCTACTGCAGGACCTGGTCATCAACTTCTAGTTTCGGAAGGATGCAGATACCGCTTCGTGCACCTTCTCGACTTGTCCTGAAGTAGAGAGACTCGGGAGACACCCAAGGCGCAAGAAGGTTTGATAGGTCTAATGCTTGTGGCTGAGGTGTGCTGCATGGGACAGCCTCCCGACAAACGCTCAGCTCCGGGCTAAGAGTGCGGAAATGGAAAAGCATCGTCAAAGTGTCCAATTCAGGGACCTACCCTTCTGTGTTGTTTCTATCATTACTATGTTACTCTCCTGAAATCAAATTTAAACCGAACCATAGCACTGCGTAGAGGAATATCCTTGTGGGTCACCTTTGTTCGGAAGAATAGGGGGGCGTTTTGGCAGTATTCCGCAAGATATCCGAGAGAGTTGTTATTTTTGATCTGTTGTTGACGGGTTAGTCATGCCTGTCTCTCAGGCTCTGAACCCCATTGACAAGGCCAAAGCACTCAGCGTCGACTCCCAAGAGGTTTTCTTGGTGGAGTATCTGGAGTGCAGAACATCTTTGCTGAAAGTTTCAGGATTGAGCAAGGTGTTCTTCGTGTGCTGGCAGTGAAATCCATGGCATTTGAGGTCTACCTCCCCTCCTTCAGTGACTTGTCAAGAACAAAGCAAGAAGGTTGCTATCCAATGCCGTCAGCCTGATACTTCTGAGAGGATGATTTGTCGAATGTGCAGGGAATTCATCGGTTGTGCCAAGAAATAGACATGTATCAAAATGGAGTCCTTGTCAATGGGTTCTTTGGTGTCCCATTTAAAGCCATCCTCAAGTTGGCGGTGGTCAGAATCAGAGGCCCCTTTGTCTTTGCACCCCGTTAAATCACAGGCCAACGTCAACCAGAGTCCTAGAAAGCACACCCACGCACAAACACACACACAGGCACACCCATAAAGACCCACGTTCACACTTCTGTTTGCAGGATTTGGGCTTCTTGCCTGGTTGTGTCTCTCTCTCTCTCTCTCTCTCTCTCTCTCTCTCTCTCTCTCTCTCTTTGCTCTGTGTCTCTCATGTCGTTAAGTTGGCGCAGATGGAGGACAACCTGTTTAACGGTCAAAAGATTGACGGAACCACCCAGGACATGAATGACAGAATCACAGTGCCCAACAAAGGACAAAATCCTGCGATTCTTGCAATCGAATGCTGCTGACTCGTTTTTTGTGCGTCCCACCTGAAGTCCATTTGGTCAATCTCGAATTCAGAAATCCAGCATTAGAGTGATGCGCAAGAGAAGGATGGAAGACTGTCTCAATCGCACACATGTGGCACAATTGTGTTTTGAGAAGCTGGTAATCTCCTTTGAGTGATTTGGCCTGACTTCTCATCCAGTGCTCTCAACTGTGTCCACTTGATAAAGTGACTTGGGAGGCACCTCAAAGGCTCTCGCGTTTCTGGCAACGGTGGGATACATGTTTTGTCCCAGAAGCCTCAACAAAAAAAGCCCTGGTATTTCGTAGGTATTTGGCTGATGTCTTGCATAAGTTCCTATAGGCTGATGTCTTGCATAAGTTCCTGTAGCTGGCCATGATTTTGGAGACCGTGGGACATTTTGTTGGTGAAGCAACATTCTAGGCGATGATTTTGGAGACGTTTGCTTTTGAGCCGGAGCTTCCGAAAGCGGCCAGGGCGTGTTGGGCGAGGGCTGGTGGGACGTGGAGTGCCCTGAAGATGTGCCGCCCTGGCGAGAGGCGCGCGAAATCGGGCTCGCGACAGGCGCTTCAGGTTTGCTGGGTCCCCCAGCTAGGTGCCCGACCTCTCACCCCCTTTTTGGTTGTGAGGGTTCCCCTCCTAAAATAGACTACAGAAGAAAGGGTAGCCTTATTCGAACCTCTCTACTGGAGGACCTAGTTTGAGAGCTTCGTAGTTCTCATTTCTGGCGCTTTGGCGCAGTGATTTGGATTGGAATGGACCAAAGCCAAAGAAAGGCCGCTGAGGCAGACAAGCAACCCTGGCGCAAAAAAAAGCGTGGGCAAAGCAAGCAGCCGAGTGTGCGAGGCCCATCCAAAAGTAATTACAATAGTCATCGGATATCGCACAGTCTGGTTGAGAAGGGATGAAACTACCTTTCGAGCGCTAAGGATCGATCAGGGCTCCCACTATTCTCGTGACATTCATAGTGCAGCCTGCAAGAGTTTGTGAATGCACATCCACGACGGGAGGACGCCCAATGCGCCGGCTGGAGCCAAATGGTATTGTTGGGATTGGATGTGTTTGGACAAAACATGCATGCCCTGCAAAACGATCAGGAACAAACAATTACACAAACCATTGCCACTTGATCGGTTGAGCAGACCGAACGCGGCAGAAGCGCAACCAAACAAATCCATGTCAAGCTTGCTGGTGCTCAGGGAATGAGAGAATGACCCTTGTAAACCATCCCCTGTGGTTACCTTGAGTTGGACCCTTGGGTTCATTCCCTCATTTCCTGCTGAACACCAGCAAGCAAAGGCCGTGTTCTGCCTTGCTTCCTTTTTGAAGTTTTCTTTCCGGGGTTGGGCACCAGCGAATGTCCGGCTTCGACGTGCAGATGCATCAACGTCACATCTGGAAAGCAGGGTTGGGGTATGGACTGCATTTGCGGTTCTCGTTTACCCTTATTATTTCTGTTAGGGGGCAAGTGAGTGTTTTTGATTTGAAAAAGGTTCAGGCACAAAAGCATTCGCGAGTCAACGGAGGAATGAGTGTTGCCAGCAACTTGTTGGCATCCACGGACATAGAGCAAGAGAGAAAAGGGTCAGGGTCTTCAAGAACTCTCTCTCTTGCTTCATGACACCGAGCACAGCTTCAACTGGGCATGTATGCCGATGGAGACAGAGTGCTTGTGTTGGAGCGCGCGCATTTGGGCAGGCGAGTGTGTAAGTGTGAAAGCATATAAACACAAGAGAACGAGTATGGGGATGTGTAAGTGTAAGAGAGTGCAAGTGTGTTTGTGCTTCACATTGCAGAATGTCATATTCAACATTTTGGGTTACCCTTCATGAAGCTGGGCATTGAGTGGCTGTGGCTCTCTCTCTCTCTCTCTCTCTCTCTCTGCACAGGTCGAGAAGCGACATCCAGAGTTCATGCAGCAGCAGGGGCCCTTGGCTTGTGCACAGCTCAAAGGGAAATGAGCCTTTGTGTAGCCCGTCCTATGTTCCTCAGCGGTTTGAGGGTTCCCGAGTTGTGACAATATCATTCCACAGGTCCAAAACCATCCAAACCCAAAAGATACCGCTGAGTTCTTGCGGCAGTGTACCCACTCAAAATCCTGGGTATTCCCAGCGTGACGCAAAAAGCAACAGCAAGACGTTCCTTTCCTTGGATCGTTCCTTCCCAACCACCGACCAGTCACTCAAACTTGGCGTGCAGAGCCAGGTGGAAGCAGGACCCTTTGTGCTGCCACTTCCCTGGCGGCGAGAGCCCAGTGCTCAGTGAGATGTTTCTGACTGCTTTGGGGGCCCTTGTTTGGTGTTGATGTTGTTTTTCCAGCTTTACTGGGTGCCACTTTGCCCTCTTCCAAAACAAGCATACCCTTCCACCAACTGCACATGGTGGACATGTGTCTGAAAGAAATTGTGTGTGTGGGTGTGTGTGTGTGTGTATGCGCGCATTGGTTTGTAGTGAAGAAACTGTTTGAAGGCAAATGTGAATTGTGGGTGTGTTCCGGACATGGCTGGCAGCAAGACGTGTGAAATGGCAATGTAGAAGAGTCTTCCGACAACAGACAAGCAAGGCTTCATCAAGGTGATTCCACCTTCTAATATATTCGCTGGTTCCATGTTTGGCGCAAAATGTGATTTGTCAACCGGATCGGCCAGAGCTGGCTGAATCGAAAAGACAGGAAGCAGTCTTGGAAAGCAAGATCCACCGAAATCTGGAGAATCACGTTCTGATCGAATGAAGAACAACACACAGCCTTCCTTTGATACCCTCATGAAGGAGCACCCAAAGCGAAGCCAGAAGATTGCATTTACAACTCAGTTGCGCACATATGTGGAACATGCGCGCTGGCGGAAATTCTCCAGAAGAACCAGAGGTGTTTTGAATACTCGAGCTTCTCTGCTGCAAAGCAAGGAGGTACAAAGACAATTAGTCAAAGGATCTTGGGTCTGGTGGAGAAGGGCAAGGTCTTCATGACGAGAACGCTCTCAGTAGTCAGCCCCTTGCGCAGAGCAACTTACACTAAACAACTTGCGCAGAGCAGCTTGCGCAAGGCACTTGTACAAAGCAACTTAAAGAAACTTGCACAGAATAATTCGTACGGAAGAACTTGCACAGAGCCCTTGCAAGCTCTCGTCAACTCACTACCGCACTGCGGCAGGTTACCTGGATGTCGTCATGCGTTTGGAGAGCGTCTTGATTGACGCCTGGCGCTCAGGACGCGGAATCGATTCTCAAGATGGGTTTTTGTTTGCACTTGGAAGGGGTGTGCACGGTGAGAGATTTTGCTCTATGTGTCCTTGATCCGTTGCCCATGTCTCATGTCTACCTGCTAAGACATGCAATCTGATGCCCTTGTGGCCCTATGCATGCGAGTAAAATACAGGCAGGCAGACAGAGAGAGAGAGAGGGGTAATTGTGCTCCGCTCCCAATAGATTGATGTTCAGAGAAATGGCAGGTGTCATCCGTAAATGGTTGGTTTCTGAGTTTCAATGCATCGCTTAAAGAAGAAGTTGTTTGGTGTGTGTGTGTGTGCTGCCTGTTGTTTGGTTGTTTGGTTGTTTGGTTGGTGTTTGCGTGTTTGCTTGTTTGTTTGATTGATTGTTTGTTTGTTGGTTTGTTTCCTTGTTTGTGTGCGCCTTCGTTTCTTTGCTTACGTGTGTCTTTCTGCGTTGCTGTGGTTCGTTGTTTTTTTTTTTTTTTTTTACTTTGAATGTTTATTGGTGTGTTTCTTTGTTTTTTGATTTCCTTATCTCTCTGAATTTTGGGTTTCGTTGCTTGTCGCTCCTTTGCTTGTTTCTGTTTTATGTTTGTGTGTACGTGTGCGTGATTGTGTTTGTTGTGGTGTCGGTGGTTCATGTGGCGAAAGTCACGGAAGCGATTTATCTCTAATTGTCCTCCAGATTTCCTGCTGCATAATGCCCTTTTTACCCAATGACTTTCGCCATTCCTAGGGCAACATTGGAGGCGTTGGGGTGTCCCAACGCGACATCAGGTGCGACAGGCCGAGAGGAAGGGTGGGCAAAGCGGCTGGGGGGTTTGAAGCATCTCCCTGCACCAAGGTAGAGATGTGTACTAGCCCGGTCCTGATTGCTGGAAGCTGAGAAGTTCCAAGCTAGCGTCAGAGCCGGGTCCATTTGAATGTCTGGTTTTGGGGGGATAGCCTTCTTGAAGTGGTGGAAAGCGAAACCAAAAAGGAATGACCTTTGTGGGAGTCACCTCATTAGACAGTCACATACCCATTTGGTTGTACTCACCTTGCCGGGATGCCCTGCTTGGCCCAACCCCTCAGCTTCATTCTGGCGCAAGCTGTTCATTGCAAACCCCAAAGTTTCGGATTAGTCTCTGAGTTTGGGAGAGTTTAGTCATGCCATGGTCCAACTTTCAGATTTGCAAGGTCTGTTTGCAGATGCCTGGCGGAAAGATGGGCAATGAGGTCAGCCACATTACGACCCTCCAAGTGCTTTTGGCCTACTTCAAAGGGCCTCTTGGCGGACAGATGCACGCATGCGCGTCAGCTTGGGTTCTACTCAGTTGCCCAACAACGATCTCTGGACTCCTGGGCTTGGTGTCAAGGATCCAAAAGGGCCGGCTTTCTTGCTGGTGTCCCTTTAAAGCAAAGAGACGATCTGTGATATGACAGCAGTCACAAGGCCGCACTGTCACATGTCAGCTGAGGGTGCCCGTTGCCGAGGCCGGGGCCCAAAGTCGCGGAAACAGACATGGCGCTGCTTTTGATTTGGGGAACTAAGCCCCATCCACGGCCTCGTAAGGTTCTATCAAACTTGTGTGCGGCACAGCCAGCACATGCGACTCAGGGGGTTCTTTTGATACTTTTTGTGGAAAATTGTTCGACCCCCTCGTAGTGAAAGATTCCTTTTTAAGGGGGTCGCCAATTTTCTCACAAAAGGTGACAACAAGACTTCCCTGGTGCGACTGTGGTCAGTGAAATGTGTCTGAGGCTTGGAAGTTGTCCCTTCCCAAGCGAGTCGTTGTGGAGGCACCTTGGCTTACATGTGCGACTTGAAGTCACAAGCTTGCAGGAACTTAGGAGCTTGCCAGAAAGAAAGGCATGTTTCCCAAAAAGGACCTCGGTTTACAGGGATAGACATGGTGGAGGGTCCTTTCTTACTTAATAGAATGGTTGCTCCCGTTTTTTGTTGGCTGAAGCTTTGTTTTGAAGCACCACACAGGGGCCACTGCAGAACCCAGAGGCGAAGGCATGGTCACCACAAAACGAATGGGCGATCAACCTGAAATTTGGTTTTTTGCTGCTTACCGGCTTTGATCTCAGACCAAGACCAATAATATTGACAGATGCTGGTAAATTAAGCAGCCATGACATGTGCTTGCAGACGTTTGTGGATTGTCACGTCGGAATGAAACAGCAACAGCTCAACAAATCCTTTGAGGTTGTGGCTTTAAGGGGAACCAACAGAAAAACCGAGCCACCCACATGACTGCCCTGGATCTACAACCGACAGCCGCGGTCCAACACCGCAACGGATTCCCGCGTGATTCCATTTACCAGTGGAGGTAATCAAGGGAAGCATGAGCAATTGGCTCATAGTTCACACACGAATCGGTGGAATCACTCGCCATAAAACAGGCAGAACTCTAAAGTACCCAAAGTGAGGCTTGTACCTCTCAATTCCTGAGTGCGAACTGTTTTTTGTTTTGTTTTTTTTAACCACAAGGTTTTCCCTCAGGGAGTGAGACCTCACGTTCTTGACCCTGATTGTACCGATGGGAAGAGGTTTTCTGGGGCTGGCAGGAATTGAACCTGCAACCTCCCCAGCAATTCTGGGGCGCGCTGCCATTGTGCCACAGCCCCTTCTCACCACATCGGATCTCATTCAGACAGGCTTAAGTATGGAATTTCTTTGAAGGTTTCTAAGCGGGTTTCATCCCGGACTTGATCGGCCGACGATTTGGAGCCCAGTCACATGTGTTTCCTTGAGCCAGAGCAAACTGAGGATATTTGTCCCAGGCTGTAAAAAGCTTGCTGCATGCTAGTCCGCCTTATGGGGACCTTTTTTCAGCAAACCAACCACCAAGCTGTCCTTGATCGTGAGAAGCACCCATGGGATTTGCAGACAGGTCTCACCAACTGCTGGCGGCAGTTACGCGTGCGAGGAGTCGCGCTGTGCAAAACAGCAGATCATGAATGAGGTTTTGACGGGCATGGTCATAAAGCCGATTTCAGACCACTCTAAGCGGTCTGAATGAGGACTTTTCAGGCCACACAAGCTTTGATGCTGTCCAGTTGCGCGCTCGCAAGGAGTTCAGCTTGGCTTCGCCGAGTGAAGAGCAAGCTGCAGGAGAGCAACTTCGGGTCAGGTCTCATGACAAGACTGTCCGGGTGTTTGCTTCTTTGACGACACTCACAAATGCAACCGAAGGAAGGCCCAAAAAGGAAGGTCAAGTGTCCTATCGCCTCAGAACCCTTTCTCTTCTGGTTGATTCCTTTTTGATCCCAGAATGAATGCGCAAACAACAGCCCTGAGTCATTGCACCAGAGAAATGTGGCAATTTCATCCGAAAGATGAATGGGTCCGGACCGTGGACGGGCGCCGTCCACGGGCCTCGTCCTGCGAACGGATGCCATCTGTCGGGTCAGAGTTGTGGAGGGAAGGTTCCATCATAACCCACAGCAACATTGAGCCCTCTCTATGTCCTAGCGAGAACAACTCAGCCAAGCGAGCACAACTCAGCCTTCCAGCCTGTCTAATGTGTTATAGGGTTTGAGGATTTAGGGTTTATGAAAGGAAAACCAGACGGCCTCTAGATGGATTCCTCCATCAAAGGACAGAACTGTTGGTTGCCCTCACTGGAGTCTCGGTGACCCCTATACCGGAGGAAGGATCCTGAGTAAAGGGAGCCAAAAAAGCAATAGTTTCGGGACAAACCCAACTTGTGGTTCTCAACGATTTGCTTCCGAACAATGATGAAATGTTTGTTGTACCCAGACTCGTCTCGAAATTGGGGTCCTCTAAAACAGTTGAAAGAAAAAGGAAAACACATGTATGGCGTGAAGTCACACCACTTGCTGAAGAGCGCCATGCAGAGTGAAGGAGTGCTCCTTCGCACAAAAGTAGCTGATGCGAAGGCTCGAGAAATTCAATAGCCATCATAATTATCCGTCGTCGTAGCACTAGCAGTAGCAGTAGTAGCAGTAGCAGTAGCAGCAGTAGTAGCAATAGTAGCACTAGTGGTAGTAGCAGTGTGGCAGATTTGTTCAGGGAGAAGTTGGTTTGACCTTCGTTAATCCGCTGCTGTTGTTCCATGCCTTTGGTTGTTTTGTGGTGTTTGGAGAGTGCGTGGTATCAAGCACGCTCCAATTTTTCTGAGATCATGTCACCTCCAAGCTCAGAGAGAGCCACAGTGAATTTTGGCCCAAGGCAGAACATCTTTTGTACTCGATCGGTAGGACCGGCCAGCGCTTTCCATGCATGGGGAGCCCTTTGCTACAGGATGTGAGGAGGGCTCTGCTGAACTGGAGCAATATTTATGTGGTCGCTCTTTGGATTTCTCAGGCCTGCCTGAGCGTGTCGCACAAGAGGGTGTCCATTGTTATGAAAGAGTCTCCCTTTGTGTTGACGACCTTGCAGCCAGTGTGGATCGCGGTTGCATTCGGCATTGTTTGGGCAGCCATGTGCTTCCGGGGCACTGTGACAAAGGACACACTGGAGGAATCCACTGAGACCGACGAGGAGTCGACTGTTGCCAGCGGCGAGAGTGTCAAGCCAAGCTTCAGAGTCTGGCACTCTGCAGTGATGGGTCTTCTCTTTACGACCTACAACTTCTTGGGCTATAGCGGCGCGCGCGGGCACCTCGTGTCAGGCCCTCTCATCATTTTGTTGCAGCAGACGGTGATACCACTCACCATGTTGTTTTCTGTATGCTTTCTTGGCCGACGCTACTTCCCCGCCCACTTCCTCAGCTGCGCCGCCATCGTTGCTGGTATTCTGGTGTCGTTCGTTGGAAAGGACGGGGCGACCAGAACAGCCCAACAAAAAGGATTGAAAAATAGAAACAGAAGAAGGTGACTATCTCCCTCGGCTACTCGCTGTTTCAGCCTTAAACCCTGAAAGGAGTGGACCGCACAGTCCATGGGCGCAGTCTGCTTGCTCCTGGCACAAGCTTTTCCAGGGGCAATGTCGACTGTGTTCATGGAGTTCTCTTTGCAGCGATCGCACGTTTCATTCTGGAAGCTGTGGACGTTGATCAACATTTGGGAAGTCGTTGCTTTGCCGCCTGTTTTCGTCGCCTCTGTTCCCCTTCAAGGCCTCACATTCGCCCAGTCACCGACGAATCTGTTGGATGGCTTCCAGTGTCTTTTCCTTGGTCAAGGTAGTGCAGCTGGTGCAGATGATGAAGAGTGCGCAACGCTGGCATACTTGTACCCGATCTTTGTGGTTGCACTCATCGCAGTGAAGACTTTGCAGGCAGTCGTCATCGCCAAGTTTTCGTCAGGCCTCGTGTGGGTGGTTGCAGCTGCGGCCGTGCCCTTGGCCTCACAGGCGTCAAGGGGCTGTGGGGTTGCAATTTGTGCGATTTATCTTTCTTGGGGAGTTGCTCAGGATACCCCCCTGATCAGGCGTTCACTGTCGTGTGGATCATGGGCCCAGAGAATGTACAGCCACCTTTGTCTGCCTGGAATCTTGACAGATTTATCCATGTGTTGCATGTGTTGCTTGGTTTTATGGAAACTAGCCATTGGAATAAGTGTTTTTTTGCGCCATGATTGTTAGATGGCGAGGATCTGGCTTGGCACTGTGCTGGTGGTGGCTGGCATGGTCCTGTTCCGCATGAGAGAGTCGGTGAAGTGAGGCTGGTTGAGCTTCAGTTGGAATTTGGTGTTGCAGCTTTTGTTTTAAGCAGCACAAAGCTGTCGGAGGAAGAAGGCAACGAGGACCATTGCGGACGCCATAAGCTCGTCCTGCAGAGAAGCTGCCAGCTGTCAAAATGGCATTGTGGATAGTTTGTTTGGTTGCTGCGTGACGCTGTTCAGCTACTAGTTGCCGCATGGGTTTTGTTTGTAGGCATGATACAATGTGCCCTGTTCGTATTTTACATGTTATACGCATTGCAAATGTTGATTCCCCTTCAAAGTCCCCAAAGGGTGGTTGTCACTCAACTTTATGAGGTGCATCAGCATTTTGATTGTTTCGCGTCCTTTGCTCTGCTTTCACAGGATACCCAGCCCTGGCTATTTCCGCAGAGAAGGAGCCCAAAAAGGACTGCTCATGCGCGTACTGGCCATACCAGTGTCCAAAAATCAGAGGCCCGCTTTTGGAATGTGCTACGGTTAAACAAACTCACCATTTTGTCGTAGGTGCTCCCAATGTTTGAACGTGTTTGGACAGAAGCTCACTTCCTGAGTTCATGGACTGTATACATTTTGGGCAAAAAAGACTTTAGTGGCATACAAGAAGTTTGGGGATTTTGTTTGGGCCATCCATTCGGGAGGTGAAGGAAGTTGAGTAAAAGCCTTCCTTTCTTTTCATGTCTTGACCTGGTGCAAGGATGAGAAGCGGCAGAGATTGGCAGTGGTCCAGTAGGCGCGCGACCCACACCTCTGCAAAAGTCTCAAGTCCAAAAAGGGACCCCCAGTAATTGCATTGACTTGGAGCACAGGCATATGCAAATTGCTGGCACTCGCAGGTGTTCAACTGAGCTTTAGGGCTTGCGGCACCTTCATTTTCCAAGGGCCTAGGCCAGGGTTTTGCTTTTGAATTGGGGACTCAGGCTTCCCTTGAAAATCCTCTTAACAAAGCAACTCGGGCTTCCCTGCTCAAACCACAAAGCAACACCCTGGCGCAGCCAGCTGCAACTCTTTTCTCGAGAGGTTGAGTATTGGTATACAACGACCATAGAAGAAACTCACAAATGGATAGCTTTCCATGAATACTGTAAGCTCCCTTGCGCGGCAGTATATTGCTTCAAAATGGAGAAAATGTACAAAAATAGTATGATGGTGATATTGATGATCACCATTGTTATGAGGCTAACTATTATTTACACGCTGACGCGACACAGCCGGCCACCGAGCACCTTGCTCTTTTCGTTCTATCATTTCCTTTTCCTTTATTTCCCGTTAATTCCCGGAGTTGAATTTCACTTCCTTTGCATGTCTTCCCTGCATGTCCGATAGTTTCCTGCTGCCCTCTTCATTTTCGTGCAATTCTTTTTATTCATCATCCGCATCAGGGGCGTTGTCTAGTAGGCACCCCCCAAAAACACTGGCATCATATGGTAGCTCCTAAAGTAATATCTGGTTAATTGGATATTATGGAAGACCCTGAAAGATATGTTACGAAAGCTAGCTTTAGCTAGCTCAAGTTTCTCTTTGCGTAAGCAAGGTAAGGGACTCAAATGCCGAAAGATTGATTTTTTTGTTCAATTATTTGAGCCGAAAAGATTGAAAAACAATTATTTGGACCCCCTGGTCAGGCTCGATGATTCAATCATCTTCCCCCCTGGGCAGTGCTCATTGGGTAAGTCTCGGTTTGAGCGTTTTGGTGCTACGAACTTTTATATGTTCCACCGATTGCTTGTTCTTTGAGACCTCCTTCTCGGTAAACCACCTCAACAATCTTTGCACATGTAGCATGCAGAACCCAGAGGTGCTTGCAGACAGCTTCTGACGCCTCTCGTTGTTTTGATTTTGCAAGGTTTGCCACGCCACCATGTGCGTTTGCATGTCGTATCCTACGAATCTTGCCGGGCCTCCCGTTGTACATAAGCTACCTATGAATCCACTCTGTTACCGACCCATCTTATGCAATAACTACTAGCTTTCGTTCACCCGCTCCTCAAGTAATATTAGCTCCTGGATTTTTGGAGGTTACAATGATAGATCTCTGAGAATAGGATGGAGGGTATCCATAGGGAAGAGTAAATCTTGATCCAAAAGCTATTATTGTTTTCTTAGTTTTTGGGATTCGTTAATTATTAATTAGAATTTTTGGAGGTAGGTATGGATGAAGATATATTAAATAGTTTAAGGAATATTTTGTTTTAATTGATTTTTTGTTTTTTGTGTAATTTGATATTTGGATAGATTGGATGGTTTGGGAAATGAAAAATTGATTAATAGGAATTATTTTAAGTTATAATATTTTTATTAAGATTTTTGAATTAATGAATTTTGGAAAAAAAGAATTGATTGATGATGGATTTTTGTGTTAGTAATTATAGTATTAAGGATTATTAAGGATTATAATTTTGTTTTTATTATTAAAGAAATATAAATATTAATATGAAATAAGTTAAATAGAAATATTATAAATATTTAATATTACTATTAAAAAAATTAAAAATAAAAAAAGTTGTTTTTTGTGTTTTGTTTTTTGGAGGGGGATATTATGGAGTATTAGAAAAATCCTCGAATGATTTAAGTGGTTATATATAAAGGTAATTTGTTCGGATTAGATTTGCGATTCGATTATGTTCGGTGACTAGATATATATATTGATATGATATAGTCGGCTATTGGATTTGGTTTTTTTCGTTTTATTATTTATTATTTGTGTTTTTTTTTAACTCTCTTATTAGTTTTTGGGAATTACATTTTGTTTTTTTTATATTTTTTTCTTTATATATTCGATAATTTCTTGGTGTTTATTTCTCTTTATTTTATGTATCTTCCATTAAGTTTCTTTAGTTCTTATAATTTAAATTTTGTTTTTTATTTTATTTTAGTTCGTTATATATCCTTTTATTTCTCTTTAATTTTTGTTTGTTTCCTATAATTTTCAATTTCTCTTGGTGTTTATCTTCCGATTCCCTTTATGTTTTTCTTTGTGTTCATATAATTCCTTTCGGCTCCATTTCATTCATTTCCAGTTACCACATCGCTAGCATGCATAGCATCATCCGCATCATCGTGGATGATGCTGGCAATGCTGGGGAATTGTCTAGTATTGGTCGGGTAGGTCTGCTTGCTCCAGAGCAGGGTTTGCGGCTTGCACCTTGGTCTTTTTGCTTGTATCAGCCGTGCCGAACAAGTGCGGTAACCAAGTGCACAAGTGATGCATAAAACCCTGCTGAATGGTATTATGTCGTCAGTGGTTGCGGAAAATTTGCCGGCAAGAACATAAACGGCGTTTCGTCTCCTCCGGCAATATTAGAGACGGGTAGATCTGTGCGAAAAAGCCGCTGCCTAAGGCAAACTATTTTTTTTGTGTATCGTATCGCTCGCAGTGCTTAAAACATATTGAGGTATTGTTTAGAAATTCGAGCTACGATTCGTCTTTAAATATTTGGGTTTCTAAAATTCAATCTCTGCTTTAATATAATGTATATTTCGCTTAAACAAAATTTAAAAGAAATCTTAATATCCCAATCTTGATTTGTTTTTTTTGTATTGATTATGGGATAGATATGTTTTGTATTATGAAAAAAATAAAATATTTACTATTTATTTAAATATAATATATTTTTTAATTTGATTTTATTTGATTATATTTTTATATTTAGATTATTACATTTTTATTAAAAATATATTTCTTTTCTTGACACAATATGAATTATATGAAAGGAATTAAAATATGAAATAATTTAGATAATTTTAAATATCTATAGAAAATTTAATAGACGATGACAAATAGTAAGAGATACTCGAGCTTGGCTTCCAGCAATGCGACCTTTGATGCCAACGGGCCCCTCCGTGTCAGTACCAGAGATACCAGTAAGGCGGTGCGGACGGCTGCTTGCATGGCAAGTGAAAGTTGACCGCTGCGGGACAGCCTTGGCCGGCTGGCGGTTGCCCTGCCTGCGCACCCAGCTCGGCCAATCGCTGCCAAGGAACGCGCTCTGGTGGGCTTCGTCCAAAGCAGCCGTGGCCACGACAGATTTTACAGCTAAAGCCGATTGAAGCTCCAGCCAAGGAAACCCTGCCTGCCAGCTGACAAGGCAGGCTGACACTCTCCGGCGCCATACCTTGGGTTGACAACAAATGCATCGCTTGGGGAAGTGTGGCGCACCAGGGGGGGAACTTGTCTTGTGATGCGCACAGAAGGACATCACTCAAAACACGAAAAGTGCGGCGCGCAAGAGGAGTAAGGGGAGTTCTTGTGGTGCACAGTGGGAAGTCTGCAGTGTACAAGGACAACTCTCGCGGAAAGTTGAATTCTTGTGGTGCAAAGGGGAAAATTGCAGTATAGACGTGAATTTTTTGTAGTGCAAAGGGGGACCAGCGGTAAAAAGGCGGAATCATCGAATGGCACGGTTATAAGCTGGGGTGAACGTGAGTAAACAAATTCGTGGTGCGAAGCTGTGTTGAACAGGGCGTATTTGCGGCAAAAAGGGGGGAAAGCTGCGGTAGTAAATATTTAAATCGTACTTCCGTGGTCAGGAGTGACGCGGGGCTGGGATTCTGTGGTGCGCAAGGGGAGCCTGCGGCGCAGAAGGGTTTGAGTGCACAGCATCATGTCGCTGTCGCTTTAGGGGCTGGAGGAAACTGCTCACGCGGCGCGCGCTGGAGGACTTGCGGATGAGCGTCCCGCTCGCTTCCTAGGCCCAGCTTCTGCTGGCCAGGCTCCAAAACATGGCTGACAGGCGCCGCGCTACTACTGTCACTTGAGCCGGTGCCAGGATGTGTGCTCAGTATATGGCCAGGACAGACGCTGACTTTTCTTTAAAAGAGGGCTTGCCATGCTGACACAAAGACCGAGTCCTCGCCACCTCAGTAGATGGCCAGCCTGAGCACCAGAGTTGCTGCCAGACAGCACATCAAGTTAACGACATGCAAAAATGGATCAAGCTGAAGGAAGCTGGGCTCAAGGCGGCAGCGGTGTATGCCCGGCTGTCCCTGAGCGGGCAAGGCGTCAAGCATTGCTGCGACCCAGTCGCTTTGCTCAACTGTCTTGCTGGCATGCTGACTGATGAACCTGATGAGAGGGCAGCCAGGCGTCCAAACCGTCTCATGACAATGAGTCAGCGCGCATAGTCTGACTGAGCCCGGGTCCCGTCAGTCAGCAACAGCTCAACGGCAGCTGGAGAAGAGGAAGCATCTGAGATAAAACCACTGAAGGCTCCGTATGTTCGTGCAGAACAAGGTGTGGGAGACTCCTAACACCTTTGCAAACCTGATGATGCGGCTTGCTTGCAATTCAAGCAAGGGTGGTCACTGCCATTTTAAGGCTGCGCATGTCAGGAAAAAGCTTCAGAAACCGAAACCCATTCTCATTCACCTGGGCGGAGAGTTGAAAGAGTTGGGCGGCGCCGCCGGCATGACGCCAACCATGAAGCTGCGTGTCCGCATGGCGGCTGGCGCGCGGTTGACAGACTGTGAGCATATTCTAATGTATTGATGACCTCGTATTAGTCTTTGCAGGATGAAGAACTGGGCTGACACGGCAGCAGCAATCATCCGGGCAGAGCTGCCTAACTTCGAGCCCCTTCTGAGCAGGAGGAGGCCGCAGCAGGGGCCTGCAATGCATATCAAGCATCTTTCCCCCTCACCACAAGAATTCCCTCTATCTACTGCAATTTTCCTCTTCTGCACCACAAGAACCTTGCAGGTCTACCTCCCCCTTAAGAAACAGGAATTTCCTTTGCACCAAAAGAATTTCCCCGTTTGCACCACCACGAGATGTCCATGGCCAAACGAGATTGGAATTCCCCAGGCCGCCTATGTCGCTGCCCCCGATAGAAAAAGAAATACGGCATGGTGTGATC